AGAGCCCTCGCCCACCCTGCCGAGCCTCACGCCAGGCGCTCAGTTAACACAAGGGTGGGCTCGGGTCAGAAGGAAGCGTGGCTGTCCTCACGTTATCGAAAGAGATCTGGAATCGCACGGGGGAAAGGAGAGCAGGTTTCTGAGGAACTGCGTTCTCCACTCTGTAGCCACTGACGGGAAGCCAGGGTAGGGCCAGTCTAAGGGAAAGTGGCACTAGGGAAACCAGGAGTAGCTTTCATCACTTCAAAAATAAAAGCCCAAACCACACACACACACAGAAACATACACACACGAAGGAGGTGAATCCCATTCTCCAGTGGCACCTGGCAATCTGCTGCTCTTTATTTCCAGGCGTGGTGTATAATTATGACGAAGAAGGCGTTCACAGAGCTGAAACCGGATGGGAGCAGTGCATTAGCATCCCCCTCGTACAGCCAGACATGTTTGGGCTTCTGCAGCAGTGGGATAAGCTCCTGGAGGAATTTTCTGCAGGAGAGGACTGGCTTCCTCACAGGTAAGTCGTTTAAAAGCTGGATGGAGCAGGGGTTTTCACTCTGGGATGATGAACTGGGCGAGTCCGATTTGGACTCTGCAAGGCCCGGGGTCCCTTCGGAGCCTCGCTCCTTCAGCACGCCCGGTTCTAACCGGCACGTCCCAGGAACGCCGTCAGGCTGTCCCGAGACCTGCGGGCCTTGCTAGGGAGAAAGAGAGTATTTTTAAGTCGTAAGTAACAAACTCATCTGCTGGAATGTAAAAGCTCTAAAATAAGAGATCATTTCAGGGAAGTTTTCTTCAGCAACAAAAGAACTTTGCATGGATAAAACCCAGTTCAGTGAAGTACAAAATAACTGCCAGCAGCAGTTTGACTGGCACGCTGTGTAGAAGTGGTGTCAACAGACTCGTGATGGAATGGCCTCGATTCGTCAAGCCGGCGTCCAGCTTAACGCCGCGCTGACAGAAGTGCCCGTGGCAGCACACGGTTAACATTGCTGCCGCGGGAAGAGGTTTTTTACATAAGAGTAACAGTATGTGGAACAGCAAAGGTTAACAAGGTAAAAGCCAAACAAATATAAAAATTAAGAAATTATTGCAGAGTCTGCAGCTTTTTTTTTTTTTATGGTTACAGTTTCTGATAGCTGGAAAGTACAACTTGTGATGAATACAGTATTTAAGCACTGGCATAGAAGGAAAGTGGCAGTCGTTCCTGGAGAGCACGCGCTTCCTTATTTCACTCAGTAAAATATTCCTCCGTGCGCAGCAATTAATGGATTCGTGCCAACTCTTACTAACGAGCTGCTTTTCCTAGGTATGACGAACACGACCACAATTGCTACACCTACGCCCTGGCGTTCGTTAACAGCGTGCTAACTGCACAAGGAAAGCAGCAGATGAGTAAAAGCGAATTTACGGAGAGATTTGTGATTCCCCGGACGAAGCAAGCGTCCAGATACCTCACTCTGCACCAGGAGCTAACGGCTAAGGATTTCTACATCGTACCCCTTCCTGATGGAGAAAACCAGGGCTGAATTAAAACATCTGCTTCATGCAGTGGGAAGTCCTCAGACTCCCAAGTCGCAGGGACTGAGATGCACGATCTACTTCATGTATTTAAAAACTCAATTAACTTTACATGTTGGCCTGCACATGGTGGAAGGATCGGGAAACACGGCTTGTGCGTTGGAATGAAGTCGCGTACGTGCAGTGTACACACTACAGAAGAGCTGTGGGAACTGCTCATACAGAAAAATGTTTTCCTGTTTACAGTCACCACGTGCTTTGTTCTGCCACGACATGTAATACCAGAAATTGTTAACTGCTGTGTAATTAAGGGTTTTAACAAATGATCTGGGGTAACGTAAGCTGCAGCAAACCAGGTTTTTTTTCCTGTCACATATGTATAGTGATGAGTGAAAAAAGGAATCTGTGCTTGTGTGCTGCTGAAATCCAGTCTCATGACAACGCAGATTCACCACATGCAAAGTTACTTTCCTTTAATTACTACTAACGTAACAACAAATAAATCCAGCCTCTTGGCCAGACACATTTCTTTCCCAATTCTTCTTTACATTTTGCACATTTATTCCTCAAACCAAGACAGATGCTTGGTATTCAAAGATAATAATTTAGTGTCTGTATGTGTTAGTATCTGTAATAAGCAGCAGACTCCTCAGGATTTATCTTGGAGATAAAACTTTAGCACATAACAAAAAGAAATTTAAGTCCAAAAAGCCTAAAAAGATCTTCCAGCAGCACTTTTACCTACTGTACGTTACGCGGAAGCATATGCCGAGGTCAAAATTCTGCAGTCCTTCAATTTTGTGCAATTTCACTTTATTTACTTACGTTTTAGTTTAAGAAAACAATTTCAGCTTTTTTGCCTCCTACTAGTTTCTGCAAAGTAAGCTGCTTTTAGTCTAGATGTAAGCCCTGTTTTCTCAAAGATGGAGAAGTAACCATAACTGATGGGGGCTTTGTCCACACATCTGTACCTTTGTGTACACACGGCACAGCCCTGCCCCAGCACTCTTTTCTTCATCTTCTTGCTAAATTCTAAATTACAGCTCATTTAAAGCATACTCAAAAAACACAAGGGAGACAGCCAGCTTGACGTGCGCTGTTTGGCTGCTGTTAGAGACCTCCCAGCCACCTGCTCCCAGTGCCAGTCAGCGTGCTTCAGCTAGGATGTGGCTTACAAGAAGAAATTACGGTACTCTCTTTCTGAGTGCATCAGAATCCATGCTTCCTTGAAGTACTGTATTTTAATTGCTAAAATATAAGTACAACAGCAAGTATCAGTGCTACAGTACAAGTATCTAACATAAGGTATTTGATCCAACAGTACTGAAACACAAAGTACAGTCGCTACAGCTAGAAATACAACACCCTGCCATGTACAGTCACCACCTATAGACACCTGCTCAGCCTTAAAAAGCTATTATGCATAATTAGCATTTTCATTTTACATCTTTCTGGTAGAAGTCGTATTAAATTAAAGCAAGGGCTAGAAGATCTTCCGCCGCGTTGCCCGCAGTTTCCTGCATTCATGACATGGCTTTACAATCTCAGCTGCCTAAGTGAGCACGATTGGGGTTTTGTGCTTGGTGGGAACAGCCCGAGTGGACAGAAAACGTCCTGCGACCAGGAGGCAAACCCCCTTTAGAAAACAGCACAAAGCAAATCCCAGTGTCACTGTCACCAGCTATAACGTATCCTGACTGTTGCAGCAAAAGTGTTCTCTCATGACACAGGAAAAAGAAAAAAAAAAAAAAAACTAAAGGGGGGGGGAAGGAAGGAAACGGTGTGGTGAAGGAAGGAAGCCTACTGTTCCAAGACAGATGGAATTCAAATGCCTGAATCCAAAGCAGCAATACTTAAAATGCAGCGTAGCTGGTACTTAAACCTTCTGGCTCGACTTGAAAGGCAGCTGAATACCTGCTGGGTTGGTTGGTTTGTTCTCCAAAAGTGGCTTAGCAACAGCAACCATCGTATTTAGGAACCTGCAACCCACATGATGAAATCTTACAAAAAAGCTAGAAAACAGCAAGCAGCGAGCGCAGCAAGGAGGAGCTGCTCAGCACTGCCCGTCGCCCTGCTCTGCACACAACGCAGCGCTGTCTCCCAGTCTGTTTCACGTGTGACAGGCCAGGGCAGAGACAGCTACGGGTGCCCGATGAAAAAAAAAAATTATAGACTGTTGTCGTTGCTGGATAAAAGAGAAGAAAAGCAGCGATGAAACTGAGACTTACACTTGCCAAGCTGGAGAGACCGGCTTTCTCTCACTAGCTCAGGACATCTTCATTGTTTTGTACATGGCAACCCCACCCCAGACAAAAGCCAAGGGCATCGCCTGCGGGCAGGGCACCTGGCTGTCCCGCAGCAAGATCCAGCCCTGACGGGCAGGGAGGAATCTGACACTGCAAATCCCAAGTGAGGTCAGACGCCGCGCCGGAATGGGGATTGGAGCCCAGCATTCCCTGCTGCCTGACACCTAATGCTGCTGTTCGGTGCCAAGACCCCAGAGTGAATTTAAATCCTTGCACATTCTGGGGAGAGCTCCTTAATTTGGAGTAGTGCTTGTGAAAATAGGACTTTTAGTTGGGACCGCCACATTCCAGGGTCTAGGCACCTAACAGCTATGTGGGGGCAATGCTCACTGTTGTGACAACCGAATCTCTTCCCAAATCTTACTTTGTGCAACTTCATGGAGTCTATAAAGTCAGTATTTGGTTGAAGAAGAATGGTACCACAGGTGTCCCAAAAGGTTACTTGACTCACTAGAATTACTGCTGGGTTTTAACTAGTTCAAAAACAGCAGTAAACTTGAGGCCGACCAAGTTTAAGCCCTCATTTTTGAAGAAATGTAGGGCCCAGTGCTGAGCTACAAAAGGAAGTCAGCCTTACAATCCCAAAGTTCCACCCTGAAGAATCTGAGGCGCTCTCAGAAACCCGTGTGACCCCTCACGGCTCCAGCTTTCAGGCAGACGCTCAGGTTTTGGACTTCAGCAGCTCTGCAGGCCGTAGTGCCCAGTCAGCACTAATGCCTGGATCTGTCAGAATATTAAGAATACCATCACTAATCACTGCAGTCCAGCCACCACTCAAAGATACACATTTGTAAGTTGAAACAACTGAGTATTTTGAGTTGGGATACGGCTTTAATTTTTTCTCCTTCCTATGCATTATTATAGTTCAATTACATTTTTCAGTACAACATTCTCTCCAGTAAACAGGGTGTACTTCATTTTAAACAGCACTTATACATACCAGCTGCGTACGCTGACAGAAACCGTTCTGAGGCTCTGGTTCACCGTGAGAAGATCAGATAAAAAACAAGACATGGTTTTAAAAAAAAAAAAAAAAGAATTTTTCCTATGCAGTCAAAGTTCATCTTGCTCACTGCGCTCACGGGAAGACACCCAACGAGTTACAATCAGTTCCTGAAATCAAAAACCAGCAACTATTACGCAAGTGGGCAGGAAAGAAAGAAACAAAGCTCCAGGCAATCAGTGAGGGATGGTGATTAAGCCTTCAGCAAACTGACGCATGTTAGGAGACCACTGAGAAATCCCATTAGATGACCCACAGAGGTCCCTTCCAACCCCTACCATTCTGTGATTCTGTGACTACACTTCTTGCTGAAGCGAGCTGCTCTCTCTCGCATTTTTCTCCCTGCATTTTTAAGTATACATTAACCTAAGTCTCCATAGGTGTCCCTGTTTCCCCATGCAAATGCTTCCATTAACTGCAGCAGCAACGTTAAAATTTACAAGATCCTAAGTCTTTAAACAGTCTGCAATGCACTTCTGTGCCTTGGGGCACAAGGGAATCTAGTTCATTTTATTGCAGCGATGCGTGCAAAAGCCAACGCACGCTGCGGAGCAAGCACCAGTCCAGGGGGGCTCTGACAGTTGGCCGTCCAGCTGCGACAAGGCATGGCCATACAGGCGAGAGAGGGAAGTCACTGCTCACCTGAACCTTGATCCTTTTCATACATTCTGGTGTCGACATCTCTTTTTCAGACATGTCAGATGGTCTGATCAAATAGCATAACATAAGTTCCTGTCGGGAAACAGAAAACACGAACACATGAATTTCAACTGATTTCTTTCTACACAAGTATTAGATCAAGCAGAAATGGAGATACCAAGTTTCCTACAAGATGTCTTCTGCAAACCACGTTGGGGAGAGCTGTATAATACACGTATCTTGTTTTCCTTATCAAAGCGTAATACTGCTACAGGATAAGCTGCAATGGTAGCACAACACCTGAGCAGCACGGCTGTGAGTATGGAAGCCCTGCGTTTCAGGCTCTAGCATAGAGAAAATCTTTTGGAAACTGTTCAAAAGAAAATCCTGGTAGACAGACAGGGCTTTAAAAACAAAAGTGGCAAGCAGGAAAGAAGCATTCCTCAGGTCTGACTTGTGTTCCTCACACAACTTCTAACGTTCCTACAGGCAACAGAACTTCAGTAAGCTTCTTCCAGAATTCATCTGGGTATTGACAAAGGATACTCTTGTTTGCCTGCTGGTGACCTAACCTGTTCTTCAGCAGACGAGAACCAGGATTCTCTTTCCAGCCTCACTCCAACTTGCCAGTCTTTGGAACTAAACTGCACCTTTGTCCTTTTAATGCTGTTTTAAAAGTAGCACCTTACACTTACCTTCGAAGCGTTAACAGTTGTTCTGTTCAACCCAGACAAGGACTTCCAGCTGAGCGGTCTTCGAAGGGAACCTTCAAAATTATCATCCACTAATTCAGCAATGACAGAGTAACTGGAATACACAGCAAACACGATAACTCACAGAAGGAAAATTACCATCCTAGGAAGATCATGAAACTTCGGGATTAGAGCCTAAAAACTGGTGTTAAACAATATGCCAGCAAGCAGCAAGCGAGTTGTGACACTGAAGTCTCTTTCCACTCGGCAAAGGGGAGTAAAGATGGAACTGTGAATAGGCTTGGTGGCACTTTCCCTCCCCACCCTTCTGCTGATGTCTGTAGCGTTCTTTTATGAATGCCTATCTGACATTTATAATCAATTTATTATCTAGGAGTTCAACCTGACTAGCTAACGAATAAGGACAATTATCATACCTTAAGTTTTTTCTCCCAAACTACATAAATTATCCATACCGTGTACTTTTAGAAGTCAGTATTACTAAATCAAATTACTTTCCTGCGTGCATTCATCGTACGAGTGTCAAATATGCTCACTGCAACTTATAATTTTTAATGTCTTACTACTGTTATATGAATTCAATGAGATTGTGTTATTTAGTACCTCTGCTAAAAGGACTTCTGCAATCCCAGTATGAATGCATCTGGCAAAATATTCTAAGTGAAGAATGTGTGCTTCACCAGTGAAGATACTAAATATGTGTGAGAGAAGTTTACTGATTTGAAAGTAAGAAATTAGACAAAACATGAGCTTCAAACCTTGCATGATAGAAGGCTGGACCTTTTCGATACAGCACTGAAATGAGAGAGAAACACCTCAGTTAGATAATCTCAGAGTTTCCATCTGAGTTTAATACCTGGGTCCGTAAATGTTTTCAAATGTTTTGTAAGTTTTAATTACACAAGACAAAACTTCACCGCTTTTGAATCCTGCTCAGAATTATGTTGTCCTAGCAAGTGGAGAGAGAGGGAAGAGACAAAAAAAACCATGGGAGCAGCAGGGTGACTCAGGGCAGGCGAGTGGCAAGCAAGAGATACAGCAGAAGAACCAAAGGACAGTCAACAGCTGCTAGGGGGAGAAGTTTAGGATGGCATTTTTCTGCAACAGACTTCATGCTTTTAACACTGTATTCGCAACAGAAGTTGAGCCACCGAAGTACAAGTAAAAAACCAGAACGAGCCATTGAGTTTCTGGTCTAAGCAAGCATTTTCCACAAGTTTTGGGAGAGGCGAAGTGCGTACAGACTGCCCACAGCACCCACTAGAAGTTCCTCCTCTGTCCACGAGCACACAAGACTCATTGCAGCTGGACTGGTGTAACGGAGCTAAATGATTACGTTTCCTCTCTCCCCTCTGTCACGAGCTCGTCAGAGGGGACTTTCTTTCAGTAGCACAGGTTTTCTTACACCGCTGGCTAGCACAGACCTGGCCAGGAAAAGGACGAGCAGCATTTCATTGCAGCAGTGAGCATGATTTGCAAATTGTCCACTATTGTAGTAATATCCGTTCTAAGAAGGTACTGCCAAAGAACAAGAAGCTAGAGGAACTCAGGAGTAAGGCAGAACTCTTAGCCTTAAACTAATCCAATTCCTTTGTCTGGCACAAATGCAAAGGCAACGATATGCTAAATGACAAATAAAGGCCAGAACACAAACGAACGGTGAACAAACTAATATCAATTTCACGTATACATCAGGTAATCAATAGCAAAACCCCATCTACAATGCAGGGTACTAACAGTGATGCTGAATTCAGCCAAACCTACCTGCTGACCTGGAGGACTAGCTCAGCACCACCTCGACAGAACCCCCCAAACTGTAAAACTGCTTCAGGTGGTATCAGAACACCTGCTGGTTTGTATGCATACATAAAAAATATCTCCCTTTATGCACACTGTGCTGTGGCGACAGGCATTACTGTGTACTGTTCATGTTGATGTGAGCTGAATGTAGTTCTTGAATTACTTAGCAAGGGATTATGGATACTACCAATTCCTTCTGTACAATTAAAACCCCCACCATTAACAAACAAGCAAGTCCCTTCCCCCCCCGACCCTGCCAAAATTACCCATACATAGAAACAGTCTTAGCAGTACGTTCAGCAGAAGTCCAGCTTCCATTAAACAGGCTGAAATATGAGATGCACGGACTTCGACGTGAACTGGGATCTAGACACAAACCTGCTACTCCAAAGACTGTCCTGTTAATACTGCAGAAGATGTGTTTAGATGGGGCAGAGAAACTTGGGAAGAGAATTTCAGTGCAATCCTGCACTAGTTACTGACCTCATGAAGCACAACAACAGGCCTTTCGAGCTATCTCTTGAGCCAGTGGATGTGGGACCTTACACTCCACTCAGCCCAGCTTCACTGCTCACCTACCCTACCCAAAGGTGTCTGCTGCCCACTGCAAGCAGCAGAGCCTGCTCCGGTCACGCAGCTCCCGTTACTGCATTCATCTTCGGCACTGGGGTTTGCACTGCCTGGAAAGAAGTCAGGTGTAAATTACTGCGTTTCCTAAAGGAGCTACTTACAGAGATCAGTTCCGTACTTCAGTCCGACTTTGGGGACCCAGCCCCTACTGCGGAAGTAGTGATACGCCATGTAAGTAGTTTTAAAGTTGGGCTTCACTTCACTGAAAAATTCCCATAGCTTCACAATAGTTAGGGGCTCCTAAAAATCAGAACCACAGGCATTAACCTGACTATATTAATATTACAGCAGATCTAGAATACTGTGTGTAGTAGAGCATAACAGCCAAACACCAAATATCACAGTCCACTGCAAAGAGCACGAACTTTGGGCAATAAAATACAGAATCCCTCAATAAAAGACAGAAACCTGCTGGGGTTTTTTTAGCATTTCAAAAGCAGTCCCATAATGCCATTGTTTAAAGGAAAATCGGAAATCTTAAACTAGAAGCATAGGTTTCAATTATTTTGTCATTACATTAACAGTAGCTTGATATACTTGTAAATTAATGCTTCATACTCTAAGGAATATTCCTGGTTCGGGGAGTATTGACTAAATTATTCCTCCCATACTTACGTTTCCCATATTTCAAGCACAAGTTACAACAAAAACCTTTCTCTACAGAAAAGCTGTGCTTAGCTGTATTTGCCTGGTAAACATAAAACTTTCAAACTAGCATTTCATAAACAGACATATTACTTAAAAACTTCCCGATTATTCTGTTCGGTTCTTCCTCCTTCAGAGTTAACAGCATAAAGTACTGCCACAGCTGGTAAAAATTTCAGACCAAAAACATATCCAAACTAATGGTATCCCCAGTAACCCCAAATTAATCAAATCTCTTACCTCACCGTAATAAATACTTAAACATCCCAGAGCATATACCAAGAAAAAAGCCTGAAAAAATAAAACGGAATAATTTTAACTGATAGCTAGACTCTTCCTGTCGTTTATATTCCATGCAAGAACAAAGGCTCAAATCAATTTAATACAAGAATGCTAACGTTGGCAAGACAAACAAGTTGCCTGAAAGCTTCCTTTGAGATTTGTCTTCACGAACTTTAATGCCAACACACAGCACTACAACAGAAGTTACACATGTGCTGCAGACTCATGAAGGCACTGTGTTACAGCTAATACATGTGAATATATTTAGAAGCAGCACAACAGAGGCAGGAGTTACATAAATACGATATTCCTGGTGTTTCTATACTTCAGTCCTATCACTGGTCTTTTTGTCAGTGGGGTTATTCACATAAAGCGAACGGGATTGGACCTTACTCTTTTTTTAGCCAGATCATGTAATTATCGCAGGTTATTAGAAATCAGTTTAGTGACTAAGATAATCCACATACTTAGGAGACACAGGAGCACTCTGTACTTTAGAAACAGGTATTAAATTATGACGTAACACAGATTAATGTTTACTTTTGGGATTAAAAGTAAAACAACTTGTCCTGTATTTGAAACATACCTCTTCCAAGCTGAGCTGTAAATATTCAAAAATTCTAAATGGATTTCTTCTGCATACTAGTTTTTCCTTCTTGACAACCTGCAAGAAAAAAATTACTGCATTACTAAAACTGTAAACTGGAAAAAATACCAAATTCTGAAAATAGCAGTGATTATGTAATTTTTGTAAAAGATTAGGATACTCTTTATCCTTACGTGTCCTTGCGCATGAGCAGAGCCATCTTCAGGACACAAGCCATCTTCTTCCTCCTCTTGCACCAACACGTATTCTGGAGCACACTCCTTTGACTTGATCATCTCACAAGGCCCTTGCTGAGCGCTCCCCTTCGCCTTGCAGCCGCAATGCCCAGGAAAGCCATGCTTCTGGCAAGGCCCTTCAGCCCCCTCCTTCAGGTCACCTCGTTCCTGCTCCTGAGAGCCCCACACGGCCACAGGATCAGACTCCGGATTTCCTTCCAAACAGGCCTCCTTGCAGCCTTCATCCTGATCCTCAGGACTCAGGGCTACTACATTGCCCGTATATGTAGAAGATTGTCTGGGAAGTTCTGTATTTTCTGTGTTTGGGCCCATTCTGTTGCAACTATTATCGGTTTGTTCAGCTCCATGCTCTTGCAAAAATGGTAGCTCAAGAGGTTTAGTGTAATTCTCAAGAATCCTGGTAACCGAGCAGTCATCAAATCCTTGCTCTCGCAAAATACTTTTAGCCCACTGAACATGATACTGGTACCTAGTAAACAAGTAAAGTAAATGAGAAGTTCTAGGGCATTACATCTTTCAATTAACATCTTTAAAAAAAAAAAAAAAAAAAAGAAGATTCAGCACAGTTCACAGAAAAAATCTGAACACACATCCCCATAACTGCCATGCAAAACGTGCACAACGTAGTGGCAGTCCCATCTTCAGGAGGCTCAGACCACATCACTTAACATCAAGGTTCTGCTACCTTCTTTGGCTTTGTTTTGCCTTTTAAATTTCTGTGGCAGCAAACACCACTACTGAACCCTGCACAAGGACTACTGCTACACAGTTTCAAGAAGCAAGACTCTCACCAGGCAAAAACTCACTTCTCCCACGGAAGCCTTAAGCCTGAATCCCCTGCAAAAACATCTTGGTATCAGAGCTTGCATGATTAAAATATGGAACAAGACTTTGCATATAGATCTGTCACACACTTCATCTGTTGCACAGCCAACTACTGAGAACAGTATCTTCAAAACTCTGTTTTAACTATCTTTGAAACAGCAATGGCATAGCAAAAACACCAGCGTAAAAATCTTAAGCAGAAACTACCTTTAGTTTTAACCAAAACCCTCATATCCCTGAGAAATAACCCCATCAGTGAGATAGTAGCTGGAAGATCTAATATTTTCAATTATGATAATCCCAGTTGTTAGTTTTTAGTGCCCCTTTCATTATTTCCCCTTGGAGGATAACGCTAATATTCACCTGAAGACATTAATCTTCATTCTGTGAAAGTCACAGGTAGCAGAGTCCTTACTCAAACCTGGACAACTCTCTTACAATGTTCGTTATTTCCCAAAACAAAATCCTAGCACAGCAATTACAGTTATGAAGAACTGCAAAGACAATTAAATGCAAATTTCATGTGTCAACTCAAAATATAAGACTCTCTGAAGTCTCACAGAAAAACGACATAATTCAGCGCTGTACTTTGTTATAAAAAAATAGACTCCTCTGTCCTATGATTTAATTACCACATAATTCGCGCTTACAGATCTCTACTGAGATCTACGTGATGCATCTCCCACACCGACAAAATGACACTTTTATTGGTGCTCAGCTGTATTTGCTGACACATAAAGCAGTCACAAAGACTAACAGGAATCACAAATGTTTCTGCAAGTATCTGCAGTAGTAGCGATACTGCTACTGTTTGTCTTACCCGAAGCTGAGGACTGAAGGAGCATGACTTTTACATTTAAGGAAGGTACAATTTTTAGAGTTATCGTAGGGTTCAAGCAAACAGAGTAACTAACTTGCACACTCTTACAGTTAGTTCATGTATTAGTTAAGCGGAACAAAGCGCATATGTGGCCCAACACTCTGTTTTGTAAAATGTACAAACTAGCAATGTTAATATAGACTTTTTTTTTAAAAAAAGTAAAACATTTATCTGTTATAAAAGTTCAAGAGCTGCTTCAGCCCACGCTATATTAATTCAATAAGGAATTGAGAAAGTTGTTTTAAATAGCCTGCCCCAGAAACATTTCTTTCCTGTCCTCTGCTCAGAAACAAGTTTATTATGGTTAACGTTATTATGGATTAATTACCCGCACTACTATGCACGCACTCAATCTTGGCTTCAAGTCAGCAATTAATACATGCAAGCTTACATGAAAAACCATGATGAATATCACCTACTCTATTTCTACTTTTTCTAACATGATTTATAAATTAAACACAAAGAAATAGCAGCAAGTCATCAGCATGCATATAGCCAACCATCTGAAAACCAGTAAGACAAAACATAAAACAGAATCACCGGTTTTCTAAAAACAATGAATAAATTAACTTACTTTTTGGATGCAATTATAGGCATGTTTACATTAGCACCTGTATAAAGAAAAAAATCATACATTGTTTCATCAATATAAAAATGTTTTCATGTGATTTTGAACACTGAGCTAATCTGTGGCCTAATATCTGCCTACATTTTCAGTCCTCTATGCCATTTTGGTCCAACCTGTACTCAAGAAGGATACAGCAGGACCAGAAAAGGTACTGAGCTAATGAAGACTGATCACTCTGCATAAGCTGAACTAAATCTACTGTTTTTCTCTGGCAAGTAAAAAGACAGTCTTTCTATAAACAGCTGAGGGCAGGCGAGGCAGAATTAGCTATAAGCAGATTAAAAACGTCGCGTATCTTTCCCTCATGATTTCATGGACAATAAAATCTAGAGATTCAAACCAAGAAACACTGCACAGTTATAGGAAGACAAGGCCAAGGATGGTACCGCTACTCCCAGACTTCCCAAGCCACAAAGCAGCGAAGGCTGGAAGAACGCCCCGAGGAGCTACGGACGAGCGCTTCCTGCTCTTGTGCTTCTCCTAAGCCTTCTTTGCTGGCTGCCATTAGGCATGGGGGGAAGGAGCCTGGGCCTCACCCAGCAGAGAGGTATTTTTCTGGGTGTAATTTATACACATGTATCGTCAATGAGTGAAGAAAAGTGAAAAGTACTATTAGAATAGTGATGGAAGTACAAATGGGCACCATTTACCTTGCCATTTAGCAACCAGTGAAGGATCTGAAATGCTGTACACCGGTCGACTTCTTGAAAGGATACCTTTCCCAAAATAGCCCTTCAAAGAAAAGGAAAAATCCTTGTTACATCATGACAAAAATCAACTTATATCCAAACTATAAAATGTTGACTTCTGAGATCAGGTGAAAAAAATAACTGAAAGTCTGCAGCATTTAAGCTTGGCCTAAAGGTTGTCGCTTCGCTTCCAATAACTGGCTCATGGTTGAACACCTGCACGCAAAGATTTAACCAGTGGAGGGTGCTGGGTCTTCTGCCTCAACTCTAAATATTCGCCAGTCGACAGCTCCGAGCAGATCTTTGAAGGCAGATGCAGCAGAAAACACCGGTGCATCGAAGTGGGGACAACGCCTGGCAGAAATCAAGGGGATGCATACAGCTGCTGCGTAAGAGTGGTGGTGAAATGGTGCTCGGACATAAAAGGCTTACTGCAGCTGAATCTACTCAGGAAGAAAGCACGCTGAAGTTCAAAGAATTATGCAAGCATTTATAAAACATTAATATTCCAACCTCCTGCGGTTTAAAAACAAGAAAATGCTTTTGCAAGGTTGCATAAAATGCTGAAAGGAGAAATAAACGTAACGAATGTTAAGTCTTTGCAGCTGTTTTTCACCTCACAACGTCACTTCACTCCAAAATATATTTGGTGGGATAAGAATGAAATATTTTTCACATTTGATACAGAATATGTGCCTTGTGCTCTCTCAGGACAGGAGGGAGATGTGGAGGATGACTGGAGGCTGACGGGGAAGGGAAGCGTAAAGGCTGGCAGATTTTAACAAGCACCATGCTTCACCTCCGTTTAACAGGGCAGACAGCACCTTGTTATAAAGCTGCTCGATGTCTTCAGGGTTCCGCACTACAACGTTGTTGTTAATGATCTCAGCCTGGCACATTCTGAAGTCCTTCGCGCCTGCACCCACGGGAAAGGGAGACTCGTACGACTCAAACACTCTTCTTTTCCTCCTCGGGGGATGGAAAACCGCTTCCGCCATTTCCCGGTATTAACGCTTTCCCCTGAGAAGCGGGAGCAGAGCAGGA